GATTCCCCTCCCTTCCCAGTTTTAACTAAATAAACAGACCCTTTACACTTGTGTGGTGATCCCCTCTCCTTAGTGTTTAAAGCAGTTGCAATCCACATCCCCTTGCAACAGACACCAGCACTTGAAACGCAACCCCCATCTTTTCCATTATTTTCAATGGGAAAATTGACCCCGCATAACATGTTTTCACTTAACATAAACATTTTCAGAAATGCATCTATAGTGTTAAATGAGGAATTACTGTATTTGACATTAGTATATTGTTACTTATGTAGGAATACATAATTGAAATATTCAGTCCCAGTTACTTTTCTCATGGTATGTTTACAATGTACTGTACTGAAAGAAGTGAATTCAGTACATGTGTTACTTAAATAGTGGGAAAATATTTTAAATGTTGAGAATAAATTACTTTTTTTCTACCTAAAAAAGCACTGCTGAGCAAGAAGTGTTCTTAATAACCACGTCTCCCTAAAGCTGATAGAATTTCTCACATACCACAATGAGGTTTAAGTTTCAGATTCTGTTCATACAACAAATCAGATATATGCAAATTCCATCCATAAGTAGTAGAACCATGTAACAGTTACAATTATGCACCTCTGACATGTTGCATGCACTCGATCCAATAATTCACCTCCAAGACACAACTGTTACTAAACTATTCTGTGTGGCTATGTCTACATTACCAGGTTATTTCAAAACAAGTTATTTTTAAATAATAACTCCTGAAAAAACTATTTCAAAATGAGCTTATTCCTCTTCACAAGCAAGAGTTGTTATTTTGAAATAACAAGCCCATTATTTCAAAACAACAGGCTTGGCAGTGTGGATGCTGACCTTATTTTAAAATAACTTCCCAGTGTAGATATGTCTTGTTTTTCCTCAAGATGTGTTTCACATGCCCATTACTTCAGGAGTGTGCACACCCAGCCCACGAGAGCTGAATATGTTTTTTTTTTCCTTAGCAATACGCATCAGGATGGCACATGCACCCTTTGTGTTACCAGCTAAGTGGTAAAAAAGGTGGAGCTGCTCCAACACTTCCTCAGTTCCTTCTTGGCAGATACATTTCAATACAAAAAGAGGTTGGGTTACGGAAAGGACATGTACAATACATCTCAATAATTACAGAATCAGTTAGCACAGGTTGAACCTCTCTAGTTTGGCACCTCAGGACCTGACTTTGCCGAACTACGAGAAGTCAATATTGTCTAGCAACATTGCCAAAACTTCCACTGCTTACTGGGCTCTTAGAAGATATCTGGGGGGGAAATTAGAGTCAAATAACAGCACAGAACACTGAAAGCCAGGATTGGTGGCTAGAAATAAACTTTATGAGATTGTGGAAAGCTTGGCCACACCCATGATAAGTTCAACCTGTAATAGATTTTATTTCTTAGAATAAATGAATATGTTCATTCCATTTCTTGGAGTTTTTGCTTAGTAACAGACAAGAGGGCTTGACAGCTTCCTTTTGATGATCTTGTCTGTGTGGTAAATGGGAATGTCTGGAGGGCCATTTCTAGCTGACAAGGATTGACCCAACACCCACACCAAATGGGAAGGCCCCAAAGATGGACACAAGATAGCCTCCATAAAAGTGTGGTACAGTTTCACCTTCCTGTCCTTTCAGTATGAAGCTTTAAGTCTTTACAGATCTGTCACTGGATCTGAATGTGGCCCTCACCCAGACACTTCAGGCACCTGGAGTTAGGGTAACTTATTGGAAGAATCTTCTAGCAACCAGCACAGGGCTTCAAACCCAAGGACCAAGAATGTCCTGGTACAGAATGTCAACACCTGGGGACTCAACGCCAGAAAACCAAGAAAAAGAAAGAAAACCTAAACAGACACAAATATGCAATATAGACATACACAGACACAGGAAAAAACCACTGACAGTGGGAACACACTAGAGTAAGCACTTCAACATGCTCCAAAACAGAAGAACCTCAATGACAGTTCTGTGCTTATACTAAAGATGCATCTGTCACGCTAATAGGCACCACTAAGGAAAACCATCTGAAGCTCTGATGGATTGCATGCACACATGCCTGAAGTTGAATGGACATGTACAGTCATAAAGAATAAGCAATTTGCAACAACCATTTTTTCCAATAAATTGAAACAGCTAGTAAGATTATTATACTACAAAAATTGAATGTTATGCTGCCCTGAAAGCAACAGACACAGAAGGTGGCTGAGGTAATATCTTCATTGGATCCACTTGGCTCTCTAATATCCTAGAACCAACATAGCTACAATGTCACTCCATACAATATGGGCAATATTCAGGCATACAAGTAGTAGGGATATGAACAACTAGTCTATTAGTTGACTACCCAACACTAGTTGACTAGTCGCTTCCCCCACCTTGCTGCCTCTATCAGAAAGAGGCAGAAAGGAGGGGGCCGGGGGCGGGGGAAGGCTTCAAAGCGGCAGCACCATGTGGAGCCCAGGACCAGACCAGGCTCTTTGAAACACCATATGCATCCCGGTGTCTGCTGGGGAGTCCCCAGCTGGCCCAGGCTGCATACATCATTTCAACGCATCAGTGTCACGTAGAGCTCAGGGCCTCCTGTGGAGTCCCTAGCTGACCACAGGCTCCATGTGGCGCTGCCACGTTGAAACCCGCAGGGAGCATGGGGCCAGTGGGGACTGCTTGAGTCCCCTGCTGGGCCAGTGCTCCTTGCAGCGCTTTAGCCTTTGAAGCGTAGCAAACCCTGGGGCTGTTCCTATACTTCAAAGGTGGAGGTGCCCTTATCGACAAATCCAATAGTCAATACAAATTGCATCAACCGATTAGCTGATTATTCTAAATTTAACACCCCTAACAAGTAGTCATTTAAACTCCTGAAATTTGTGGTATTAAAGTCCTTTTTTTCCTCCGAATATTGTATACATTTTTCTAATATATGCATATAGTGTGGTCTACCCCATTTGGAAGAGCTAGTAATTAATTTTATCTGCCTCTTTAAAAAGTACCTTATAGAAGCGCCGCAGAAGATGAACACTCTCTTCTCTTGCACCCTAAACAAAACAAATACATAAGTGATGATGTGATTAATACCTGAAATAAAGGTTACCTCCTTGCCCACTGGAGTTCTTTGAGAGAGACTCTGAATATTTGCACTCATGGAATGTGTCAGCCAGGTGCACCACTGGACTTCTCATGTCCCCTTCCCCTCCTCGATCCCAAATGTTTGGGTGTGGGGGAGGTCAGTCTATAAAGGAAGCTGCAGTACTCCAGCTACTTCAGTCCCTTCCCACTGCCTCCTCAGGTGTAGTTTACAAGACTCAAGGGAGAGTGGAAAGTGGGTAGGTTATGCAAATATGCTTGCCCAACAGTTAAAAATAATTATTTCTCCTTTGAGTGGCCTCTGCACATGAAACTGTTTTGTTCCCTCTAACAATTTCTATCCTTGGGTGGGTTGAATTTTTTTCTGAGGATTTGAAATTTCTTATGTGCAACATCAATATTGAGGTAGTGTGTGGATATGCACCACCAATATAAGCAAAACACAACTACATGCATACACAATATGTTGTGAGAAACTGCTGGCTACGTCAGAGCTCTGCCACTACCGCCTGGCTGAAAAGGCCATGCCTGAAGGGCTAATGGATGCAGCTCTGGGCCTCATTAGCCAGAAGGCTATACAAGTCAGCCAGAGGGGAAGTGGAGGGGGAGAAGCCTGAGAGTGCCTGAGTGTGTGTGCGCCCCCGCCTCAGTCAGAAGGGGAAGGTAGCTAAGTCTGCTGCTGGAAAAACCTAAGCTCTGTAAACAGAAGCTGTTGGGAAGTTGACACAAGAGAGGGTCTCTGGTGATTTGTGGCTGAAGAAGCAGTCCCAGGACAATGGGACTTGGGCAAGGAGCTTGCCACAATATTTTAAGCAGTCCACATATGTGGAAGAAAATATATTAAAACAAGTGATAGTTGAGCAATGCTTATGATATTTAATATGAAGTCAAATAAAAAGAAAATTAATACTACACTTGGAGTATACGTATCATCATCCTTTCTAACCCCCCAAGCTGGTAAACACATCAAATGCATATTATCCACACAACTCAGCCTTAAAATGCTAAACAAATCTATGAGTCAAGGGGAAATAGTATTTGCCAGGAAAGCAAAACTAATACAATATTTACTGACACTGGAAAGGAGGGTAAAAGGCATTCATTAAGACTTCTACAGTTTCTCTGGGGAATGTTTAAGATTCATGCTGTAAAAACAGATACAAGTTCTCCTGGTTTTGAACTTTCACCTTGTGTGTGTCACCAACTCAAAGACTCAGGGGGTAGCCAGGTTAGTCTATAACTGAAAAAACAACAGATCATCCTGCAGCACCTTAGGGTATATCTACACTAGTCCCCTAGTTCGAACTAGGGTGGCTAATGTAGGCATTCGAACTTGCAAATGAAGCCTGGGATTTAAATCCCCTTAGTTTGAACTGACTGCCCGCGGCTATGCGCGGCAGTCAGAAGTTAATCCGAACTAAGTCCTTAGTTTGGATTAACTGTTACACCTCATTGCAGGAGGTAGTATTTAAACCCCGGGGCTTCATTTGTAAGTTTGAATGCCTATATTAGCCACCCTAGTTCGAACTAGGGGGCTAGTGCAGACATACCCTTAGAGACTAACAAAACTCAAAGAGTATAAGATCATAGAATATTATAACTAGAAGGGACCTTGAGATCATCAAATCCAGACCCTGCCCTCATGGCAGGATCAAGTACTGTCTAGGGATCATTCTGATAGATGTCTATCCAACCTCTATGCCATCATCTAAATTGTTGATGAAGCTACTGAACAGAACTGGTCCCAAAACAGACCCCTGCAGAACCTCACTTGTTATGCCATTCTAACATGACTGTAAATCATTAATAACTACTTTTTGAGAATGGTTACCCAGCCAGTTATGCATCCACCTTATAGTAGCCCATCTAGGTTGTATTTTCCTAGGTTATTGATAAGGTGGTCATGTGAGACAGTACAAAATGCCTTACTAAAGTCTAGGTATACCATGTCCACCATTTCTCCCTTATCCACAAGGCTTGACAGTCTATCAAAGAAAGCTATCTGATTGGTTTGACCTGATTTTTTCTTTACAAATCCATGTTGGCTGTTACCTATCACCTTATTCTCCTCCAGATGTTCACAGATGAATTCCTTAATTTCTTCTCCATTCTTATTTCCCTTTTTATAATGGGCACTATATATATATATTTTTTTCCTGGTATTTCTCCCAACCTTCATGTCTTTTCAAAGACGATAGCTAAAGGCTCAGATGCCTCCTCTATCAGCTCTGAGTATTCTGGGATGCATTTCATCAGGCCCTGGTGACATGAAGACATCTAATTTTTCTAAGTAATTTTTAACTTGTTCTTTTTTTATTTTAACTTCTACACCTACACCCCATTTCCATTAGCATTCACTATGTTAGGCATCCCGTCACCATCAATCTTTTCGACAAAAACCAAAACAAAATTAGTCATTAAGCAACTCAGCCATTTCCAAGTTTCCTGTTATTGTTTCTCCCTCTTCATTGAGCAACAGATCTACCCTATCCTTGGTCTTCCTCTTGCTTCTCATATATTTGTAGAATGTCTTCTTGTTACCCTTTATGTCGCTAGCTAGACTGAGCTCGTTTTGGGCCTTCACCTTTCTAATCTTGCCCCTGCGTGTTTGAGCTGTATGCTTATATTTATCCTTTGTAATTTGACCTACTTTCCACTTTTTATATGACTTATTTTTGATTTTTAGATCATGTAAGATCTCTTGCCATATTTTCTATCTTTCCTATTCAGTGGCATAGTTTGCTTTTGGGCACTTAAGAATGTCCCTTTAAAAAAACTCTCTTCAGCTGTTTTTCCTGTAAGTCTTCCTTCCCATAGTACCTTACCTATCAGCTCTCTGCGTTAATTAAAATCTGCCTTCCTGAAATCCATTGTCTCTGTTTTGCTGTTCTCACTTCTACCATTCTTTAGAATCATGAACTCTATAATTTCATGATTGCTTTCACCCAAGATGCCTTCAAATTTTCAACCAGTTCCTCCCTATTTGGAATAGAAGCCCCAAAACAAATTAACACATGGCTTCAGGATTTGTAGACAGATACATGTTTCACAGAGCTTGAAAATAAGTTTTCATCCTACAAAACAACTAACAGCACACCTAGTACTTACTACTTCTGACTCATAAGTGCCAGAACTCTACCACATATCAAAGATCAGACTTTAATGCAATACATGGTATATTGTATTAATTAGTAACACAGGATTTTAAAAAATCATTAAGATCAGAATTTTAGATATCTGCAATACTCAAAAAAAACCCTTCTGTTAAAAGAATCTTTTTCTTTCTTACCTTAAGTCATTAACACCAATGCAAACTTTGAATGTAATCATGCAAATGTCCTCCTGGCACAAATACACTCT